TCTGCATCTCATTGACAATCATAACTTGAGTATGTAGAGAAAATACAGGTAGAAATAATTGTTGTGGCACAGCCTCCAGTTAAACCACCAACCTTCCCATCAATTGCTCTCCGGGAAGCTTCTGAGGGGAGCGTGCCCTCCTGTTGCCTGGGAAATTTGTCTCTCTGCTCCTCATTTGATGACAAATTGCCTTTTTGATACAGATTATCTTGATGTCCAAATCGGACTCCAGTCATTGCCTGGATATGCATCAAACACTCCTGCTGTTCCTGTTGCCTCTGTTAGGTGAAGCTGTAACTACTTGGAAGGATTTGAAGTGTCTGGTTCAGTATCCTTTACAAAGCACTGAGAAATGTATGCTGTTAATCACAACTGGTACAGACATAGTACTTTGTGTTTGTGCTTTTCTGCATTCTTTCTTTCTGATTTGTTTAACCTTAGGGGACATAAACGCCTCTTTTGCTCAGTTTCTCTGCCGAACTCTTCAACTCCTCACCTTCTTGTGCCTTTTTAGCCTGAACTAGTGATTCTTCAACACACACTGGTTTGYACACATTCTCACTTGACATTGAAGTTGCCCAGCAGCCATATCACTCGCCTTCATTTAGTTACTGATTGATACGTACTTCAAACCTCAGAGACACACACATCTATGCACATGTACAAAGGCGACTGTACCTGTCATCTTTCTTGAATGGAACTACCTTTGCCTCATTTTGTTCTGCCTGTCCATCACCTCTATTCTTCCTCTGCCGATGAATGATGGGCTCCTGTGAGACTTGGCGAGTAAAAGGTTTTCGTCCTTCTGCTCGGCGCCACTTTGCCCGCCCTGCTCTCTTCTCCCTCAAACTTTTATTCTTGTAATGGGACAGTTGAGAAGACGTTGTTGTATTTCACGGCGAGCTGAGGGTTGTGGTGTGTGCACTACTGCGTGCATGTATAAGTGCCTGCACCACCGCAAGGCTTTAACTGCTTCTCGGCTCGGAAAAAAGCAAGTCTCCACAGCGGGTCAGGTTCTGTATTGCCTCAGGTCCTGAACAAAACCACAGAAATAGAGTGGCTTTGAAAAAAAAAAAGACAGACAAGTGGAAATGGAAAGCGTATAACTTTACCCGAACATGACTAAAACTCAGAGGCACCATTTGTGACACATAGAGTACAAAGTAGGGGTGTAACAGTGCATGTMTCTGTGCTTAATCATCATAATACAAACATCTGGCATGACACATGACCCATACAAAGAACCAGATGAGGAACACAGGTGATCACGATAATCTTGACAAGGGTACACATGTTTTTTTCAAACTGCTTTTTGCTAACTGTCTTGACAGAAAAAAAAAAGCAAAGGTAGTGCTTTTTCACGCTGGAAAAAGTATATTCTGAGTGCAACAAGGATGTAGAATGAGGAGGGCACATTCATACAAACTGCACCCAAGTTTAGCACCAGTTGTTGGTGTTTGTATATCTAAGGGGAAGTATTGCAGCTTGAAAGCTGCTTGTGAAAAATAAATCAAACAAAAAGAAGATTATTCTGTTTATCATCTGATTAAGAAAAAGAGAATGTCTCTTTTATAAGTTAAGGTGAGCCTGTTGTGACCCAAATTCAGGTTCGACCAGAACAGAGTTCTGTCTCTTTAAAGGTCCCTTCAGAGGCCTGAGGTGACAAGACGGTTTTCTTGATTATTTCACTCGAGGTGACCCCTACACCTGTCAGATTGTTAGAAAAACACCCTGGCCGTTATATTTTCTGAGGAGGAGGAGAAAAAGCAGCAGTGTATGTTCAAAACACCCTCAGAGTTCAGAGATTTTATGCTCATTTGGTTGAGGCTCATGTTAGATAAAAACATATCTCACAAAAAGCGAGCAATGTGACAACATGTTGGTGAAGACCTGCACTGAGACTGCAGTGTTCCTTCTGATTGCATGACAGGTGTTTTCCTGCATGCCATGATGTTCTCTGAACTACAGTATTTGCGACAGAACTTCTACTGTAAATAAAGTGTGGACTTACCAACTACAATTTGGTCATCTTCAGTCCCCTCTGGCTCTGGGTCAGCCTGTGGCTCCAACATGTAAGGCTGGATGGACAAGTCTTCCCTTGTTGACATTTTTAAATTAATTTGTTAATAAAACGTTCCTGCACCGCTAGATAGACGTTACCCTCTCTATCAAACTACAATGGACCACTCTGGGATCTGGAAAAAGTGAGGTGTGAAGCTCCTCGTTTGGATATAAAGAGACGGTGTTTAAACAAACTGCTTTGAGACACATCAGAAAAGGAGTGAAAGAGGGGCTTGTGTCGTGTGGTTACAATAAGGAGGAATTGAGACCAAAGCATTGCAGTTCCATTTATATAGACCCCAACTGAATGATTTTAAATGGGATAAAGGATTTAAAAGCATATATCTCTTATAGCAAAACTTCAGAAGAAAATTATGCAAGAGAATTAAAGTGTGCACCCTTCTGACGTTATTTTTTACTCGAGTACATTTTGTAGATCAAAAATGTGAGATCAGAGCACACATGACAGATTTGCGTGCCTGTCGAATGCTTGTTGTGCTTACTGAAACATGACAGAACGTGCACACCACATCAAAAAGGGAAATATGGACTTGAAGTTACTTTCCTTTGTTTCCTACTTCTAGATGTTGTTTCTGCTCCGGTTCTTCCCGCGATATCCAAAACAAGACCACGCAGTAGCTAAAAGCATCACTGACAGATCAACTTGCGAAAAAAGTCTGACATTCCAAAACTCAGTCAGTGATTAAAAATAGGGGTAAAGTAAACAGAAAGATGATAAGTTTGGGTTTAAAAAAGACCAGCAGAAGAGACGGGCAAAGTGGCAGATTTACTCGCGTGTGATGTCAGGTGAAGGTTTGTGTGCTGCAGGGTGGGAGAATGACACTAGTCTGTGATGGCCTCGTGTCAGTCACCCGATGGCAGCTCTTTAACCCTGTAATTTATCCCGTCACTCTTCATGCAGTGATGMGACCACTGCTAGCACTGCCTCTGACCAGACAGCTGCTCCCCCGTGTGAGAGCCGATTCTTCGGATGTCTGACAAAATGTTTCCGAATCTTTCCACGCTCTCCGTTTCCCAGTCGATTTTTAACTAACTTGACTTCTTTCCCGAGTTCAAGTTGTTTTAGTCACTTAACTTTGCAGTTGTTGATGCTTTCACATTCAAATAGATCTGTCTTTGTTACATTCAAAGTTATCTTAATCAAACGTAGGAGAGAAAAAAGATGAACTTTTTCTTTGTACGCAGACACACCCACAGATGTTCTCACACTCCGTATTCACCCAGAGGGGACAGAGGCAGGAGGGCAGAGAAAGAGATGCAAAGAGCAGACAAGGTCGTAGCTCCTGTGGACCGTCTTTGAAAGCAAAGTCTTGTGTTTTCCCTTCGTTCCTTTGATGTTAAAGGAGTCTCTTTAGCAGTGTAAAGACAGGATACAATAATCTCAACCCCCCACACCCCCAATCTGTCACCAAGCCTTTTGTGAACAGTCTGTACACACATAGGTAACCCACAGCAACTTAGCCAGAAATCAGAAAAAGTGTGGCAGCTGCTTAGGTTCAGCATGCTGTGTGGATATCTTCACAAGAATTTGTATGGGATGGTAATATGCATTTTAGTGAAGGTTCTTTAATTTTTCTTGTGAAGCACCTTGGTTGGTTGTTACTACTAACCCTACCTCTTATTTGGTGTTTTAATGGTTTGAATTTTTCCTTGATAAAGTTCTACCTTTTACRCAAACGGACATGATGTCAGCTTGTCAGTACAGTAAACTGTTGTTTACCCTAAATAGACTTTGGCAAATTGTTCTGATGCTTGTTAGATGAGAACAGACATGACAATGGTTGTAACCATAAATTTCAAACAAGAAAGACGTTTAAATCTGGGAGAGATGGACAGCTTTTTAAGATGCTCCTAGTTATTTAGCTCAGCTGATAGGAAGAATGTTGCCTGCCTTGTTTCAGCTGTTTGCTCAAAAGTGTGTGTCTGTCACTGATCATGATGTGTGTCGTGACCTTGTCTCTGTGTCAGTCTGAGCTCTTGTTTTCTTGTCTGTCTCTTTTTTCTTTACAATTCACTTAAAAAGTAACAATTAACATTTTTTACCATGCTAATAAAAATACAGGTGTAACAGGTGAAGCAGGCTGTGCTGCAGAGGAGTATGATGTTGTGCTTCTTACTAAGAAGTACACTCGTGGCTGATTTTGCTGCAAACACCAGTTCACCAACTCCTGTAGCGTCCATCCATATTTATACAGTTATTTACAAAATAAATACTCWGCTCATCTGTTTTTGAAAAGAAGTGTGCATATGCAAAAAAAAAACAAAAAAAAAAAACATGCAAACATATTAACATTTTACAGAACAGTTTCTGCACTTGTCAAACCTGTGCACACACATTAACCTGGTTGTTTTAAGTTTATTTTGTCCGAGCACATTTACTCACCTCTTCTCAGCTYTATTAAAATTCAGAACAACAAAAAAATGTTTTTTAAAATTTTTTGTTAATAATTCAGAGCTTAGCCAATAAGCTTGTATTGGCAAGAGTTTAGTGATATGATACATATCATGACACAAATGTCACGAAATGATAAATCGCAATATATTGCGATACTGTATGCAAGACGATATTTTGACATGTTGTCTCCAAAAGGGTCTAAATAAAAAAAAAATACACGATACATTACATGCAAAAAATCTGATTAATTTTAATTTAGTTTGATGTAATCACGAGCAACAATGAAAACTGCATTTGTATTTCACATTGCATCTTACTACTTCTATCCTTTAAGCCTTAATTAAAAGTCAATACAGTGTTTTTAGATACAATATCAGGAAATTAAATATTGCAACRTTTCAKTGTATCAATATTTTCTTRCACCCCTGTTAGGCAGACCCTTCGTCTGTTTGTCGTTTCATCTGTTGTTGTGTTCAAACCACCTCAACCCACTCTCCATCTTGTCCTCCTCTGTTGTCCCCAGCCGCAGACTCGGGTTACACTCCTCCATCAGATGGCGTTCTGCCTGGCTGAGCTGCACTTGTGGTCCACCAAGAGCTCGCTCCAAGTTAAAGGTACCACTTTATCACCGTGTTCAATCTTCCTCGCTCTCATAAAGTCTCTCCTTGTCTCCTTTTCTCTTTTGATTCACTCTGCCTTGTTACGGTGGTTTTCTGTCAACACCCACTTTGTTTTCAGACATGGTGCCCACTTGTATCTGACTCTTACTCAACGTCACTCCTCGCCTTGTCTGTTTGTACTTTTCATGCCCTSGTTTTATGAATATTGCATTATGCTTTGACATTTTTGGCCTCTTAAAATTGTATTTGTGCATTTTTTTACTTGTGCAATTTAATAAACGTTTTTAGACTGTACATGTGGACTATGATTGAAACATATTATATAACTTTTTTTTGCTGTTAGGCTCCTCACTAAGAATAAAGACATTGGGCCTCATGCAAGAACATGTTCATATTCTCATCCTAAATTTCTCTTACTTTGTTCATATGAAGGGTTCGTACGAACATGTCACGTCAGATTCAACAAACTCTTCTATCTTCAGGAAAAGTGTGTAAATGAGCTGCGTAAACACAATGAATTACACCTGTTCGTATCCAGCTGCTCGTGCACGCGGAGAGGTTATTTACATAATTGCCACCCCAAAAACACCATATAAGGACATACATTTCCTGCCCCACATACCAGGAAGTGTCCATTCATAAATGACATCGCAAAGTAAAAAAAGAAGAACTTTACGAGTTCAGAGATTGAAGTTCTGCTCTCAGAGATCCACACAAAAATGAAAATAAAATAAAAATGTCATTTTTAGCAGCGTAAACTTGGAATTATCTGCTTTAAATTTGAGGAATGAAATGACTGCTGTTAATGTCGTGTCTCCCGTGGGTCGTACAGTCACAGAAATAAAAATGTAAATCATATTCATCTCTCTCTCGTCCAGCTCTGGTTTTTCTTTGGTCAAATATTTTTAATTTCAGTGTAAACACCTGTGCTACATAGTTTTCATTTATTCAGAGGAAGTATGGTCCCCCYCTTCCCGGCCGTCACAAGTGTCAGATGCGGTTCTGAAAAGACACATTTTAAAATGTCTCCAAACTTGAATAAATGCCTAATTTAATTTGGTTTTTAGTTTGTGATCTTCATTTTAATACTGTAGTGTTATACAACAGCATTAAAAGCCAATTTAATTTWATCTAATCAATTTATGTCGTTAAAATCTAATTCCAATTCAAACAGAATAACCTGTTGTCAACATAATTATGGAGTGGGATTTATTTTCAACTCGAAATATCTGGAATATAAAGTTATTAGTGAGAAAAATCCRTCTGGATAACAGCAGACTGACTGCTCATAAAATATACGACAGGTCTGGACCACTCGTGAATTTTGTTCGTATCTGAAAAAAATCGTAGAATACGAAAACATTGGTGAATGCCACAAATTCTCCTAAATCACTCGTACGCACAACTTAAGAACAAATCTGTGCGTACSGATGCCTCTTGCATGAGGCCCATTACTTCTAGATAAAACTTATCCAAAACATACAGCATATGGTTTTTGCAGAGGTTTTTTRTAAGGCCGTCAGGCGTGCTTTAGGAACACATCCAGCTCCTCATTACGCATCACTATAATGTACTCCAGTTAGAGCAGACATTCCACGTTTTAAACTCATTTTCATTGGAAAACTGTTTCTTTAAACAAATGAAAATCAGCAACCAATACGACTAAAATCTGTCCAGACTTCACAGTATGTTTACAATAAATTATAACATATAATCATCTTTTTAGGATGGTGTAAAGATGGTTAAAATTCCACAACTGATTTAAGTGTAAATCTTTTAAAATAACTATTAGAAGTAAAGAGCATCAGTGCTTTCAAACACCTGTCATCATGCAGTGATGATTCTTTGTTACTGAGTACAGTTTTACTTGGACTTTTTTTTTTTTTGGTAGTTTCTTTCCTTTTCTTTGGTACCCTGCTCCTATCGGTCCATCTCTCCTGTCAAACGGAAGTTCTCTTTTTCACATTTTTCTTGTTTTCTCCTAACTTCTATTCTGTCCTGTCTTTCACAGTCTGCTGAGCTTTCGGCTAAGATAGTGTCTCTCAGAGGCTGTGTGTGTGTATAAATGYGTTTGTTTACATCTGTGTGTGTAGTGTCGTGTATGAAAAAGTCTGATGGTGACATATTCTTATTAGTTTTTTATGCTTTGTGCTATCTTAGAAAATCATAGATGTATACATCTGAGGGGAAAGACGTAGTTTCTAAAGTGTGATGCGCCTATTTACTTAAAAACAAAATACAGACTAAAAACAGCAACCTATACACACAATGCACACATGTCATAGACCCTAATAGCTTTTTTTTTGTCACAAAAAAGAGATACAAATGTACATTCTTGTGYACAAGCTGTTTATTCATTGTACAGATTTTAAATGAGAGCTCCGAAGGTAAAACTGCTTCTTTCTTCCAGTCAATCAGAACAAACTGCTGTTAGGATTTTCTGCCTTCATGCATGTTTATTTGGCTAGAGAGGCATCACAAAAGATGGGCAAACATAGAAACATTCACGTTCTGCTTTGCTCATTTGTGACTAACTTGGCTGATGACTTCTACCAATAATATTTTGAATATTTTYGAGTTTGTGTCATCATTTTTTAAGAATATTCAGATGAATCTGCCACAAAAAACGATCCATTTGATGTCATTGCTTTTTTTAAATGAACGTGATTAAAATATTTTTCAGAGTCATGTTATCCGATAATAAACGGACAACTGTGTCTGACTGATTACTTATAGTTTCACCATTCATGTTATCAATAAAAACACAAGTCAGGAAATATACTGGCTCCAGGCTTCTGTATAGACTTTTAGTGATGTGATTAAAGTTCGGTTTACCTTGTTGTTTCTTTGCCACAAATCCTCGTTAACAAACAGAAGTAATTCGTATAGCAGTATTTTCCCTATATGGTGCAGGAGGTGTGTGTTTGTGTGTTGTGTTAGTATGACCTGGCCTCAGGAGCAGCAGCAGCAGCAGCAGAGCGATAAAGAAACAATATGTTGAGCAAATCTAAAAGTTGCTGCTTATGGTTTTGGGCCTGCAGGAATAACACACTCAGAAAAACGCCTCTGCTCAGCCGTTTCTGTGTGTGTGTGTGTGTCTATATGTGTGTGTGTCCATATCTGTCAGCCGGTGTGTACTGCTTGTTGCATGCTCTGCATATGTCAGTCGCATGTTTTTGTCGCCGTCTGCAGATTTTCAAATGTTGCATGTTTACAAATCAGAGTTTGCCCCTCAGGTGGGATGGGGCTAAGGCGCACTCCTGTCTTTATTAATACCCCTCAGCATGCCCTTCCGTTCAGGTCCGGACCCCCTCCTACCTCCCACACAGGGTCTTATCTAAACCCTGGTGCTGGCAGACGGGACAAGCCACTGGCTGATAGCGATTGTTTATCCCACGGTGCGAAATTGCTGATCTGTCTTCTGCTTTTCCCTGACAGCGAGATGTTCATCTCACTTTCTCCTCCTCTCCCCACAGATACAGATATTGGCACCTATCAGTACTACGATAAAGGAGAGCCAGGTAAATAGTGTTTATATTGGTTGTGTGTTTGTGTTTAAGATGAGTTGAATTTGTCTTGTTTTTTGGAATGTATGTGACTCCAGCATATATGAAGAAGGGCTTTTTGCTGCCTGCTGACACACAGATTATTGGTCCAGCATGATTTGGTGTCTTACAGCCGCTAACCACACATACACTTACACACACAAAGGCTATTAGTATGAAGGATTTACACCCTAAAACCTTATATACACATGCACATACCACACACACACACACAGATTATAAGGTCTCTGCAGTTCTATCTCTTATGCTCCCTGTGTTCCTGTTGACCTCGGGGTCCTGCCACACAGCGATAGGAAAACTAAACTGTTGACTTTCTCTTAGATCACATAGTAAGAAACCCCATGCAGTCCAGCCTCATTTTGCCCGAGGCCGGGAGCCTTTCCAAACAATCAGGAAGTGCTCAGATCGTTCCCTCTGCAGCCCCTGCAGCAATATGACCGTGTCTTTTTTCCCCTTTATTTCTTTGTGTTTTAATTTTATTTAAAAATGGTGCCGCAGGGTTTAGGATTTACACTCTGCAACACTACACCTTAAGAACATAGCTCTGCTGAGTTGTTTAAAAGTCAGCACTATTCAGACAATATGTTATATCAGATTAAATGTGCAAGTTGTTTTCYACTTTTGTAAAGCAATAAAAGTAAAAATGGTCCAATATTTATCACTTTACTTTTTAAGGTATTCTGCATTTTTTGGGAATATTAGAAAATGAAGTGATGGTCAATTTTATAGTTTTTTGTTGTAAATTAAATGAACTTGACTATAATTTTTTAAAGGAATGCATAAAAACAAAAATCTAACTTTTTTTTTTTACAGAAATGTCACATATCACTGTCCTGGACTTTTGCTTAGCTACAGAAGCTGTGAAGGGACAAACGTAGTGGATGGTCTAAAGTGGTGTTTCAAAAACATTTCATTTTTTGACCTACAAATAAACTACAGCTGGGACTTTTGACCCTGACTATTTCTGGATGAAGTTCAGAAACTCCTCTAATAAGCCWATAAACAAAAGAAACAACTAACAGCTTCAATAGCCAATTATTTAATCTATTATTTACTATTATTGTATTTTTCAGGCCTTGAAACAGTTATTTGAAAAACATGCCAATAGCAAACATTTATTTTATCATTGAAGGTGATCTTCATACCCCTCCCCTCATTCATGAGCCACAATCAGGTCCCAACGCCAAGGAAATCACTGGCCTAATATAGTTTATCTTTTTTGGTCTTAGATGATTATTTCATTTCATTTCAGTTTCAAATAACAACATTAATACCACAAATACGACTTTTTAAAAACCCCAATAATTAAATGATGCATGTGGATACTTACAGAACAAAATATAAAAAGATAAGGTAAGGTCATCCTTTTTTGAGAATCACTATAACCAAAATTCAAAACTGACTCTGTTCTAAAAAAAACTATATATTTTTTAAAAGTTGAACCTTTTTAACCAACGGTTTTTTTTTGTTTGTTTTATCCAAACCTTTTTTTCCTCTGTGGCTAACAGGGCACTGAAGCACATTGACCAAATATAAAAG